ACTAAATGAGGTCTTGGGGATGGGTCAGGGAAGATACAAGTTCTATAAAAAGTTGCAAGGAAGAAGTGATGAAAATGAAAATTCTCTAATGCACAGGAATTGATCAAAGGTTTTATGGAAATATCATTCAGCTGACAGGAAATTCAGCCATGTATGCCAGATATAACCAGACATATCTGCTGTATCTATTAAGAGAACACAAGATTTGCTTGGTTTTTCTCATTTACAAATTTATAAAGTTAAGAATTCTAATGATATTTCTAACATAGAGCAATATTAAAACTAGCTGATGCCATTTCAGGAATAAATTAAAAAAAAAAAAGGAAAAAAAAAAAATATGAACCAAAGCATGGTGCTATCAGGAAGTCATTGTCTTCATGACATTTTGACAACATTCATTTTATTAGAATCACACAATAAAATGATGGAATAGTTTTCTCTTACAGTCTGTCTTTTCTTTCCTTGTTTGTTATAAATATATTAAGTACCAAAAAAATGCTGCTGAAGAGCTTTTAAATTCACCCTACAGTTAGTATCTATTCTTCAGTTACAGTTAGTATCTATTTAGTTTACAGTTAGTATCTATTCTGATTTATTATGTGAAGACATTAATTGCCATTATCCAGGCTTGTTGTATCACAACTCATGGCAAATACTCGAGTGCATATTGTTACAGACAAGAGTTGGAAGTTTCAACTACAGCAAATTGCAAGTAGACTTGAGTAAATGGAGGCAATGAAGACAAAGACCAAAGTTATTTTTCTTGCAATCCATCATTAATTAAAACAAAAAAAGAAATCTGCCCTATCTGATGACTAAACACACCATTTTCTGGCTCTTCTTACTTTTTCTTTTAAACATGTAGTATAGAAACTATTCTTATTTATGCAGCCATCTCATGACCACGTATCACTTGCCCATTTTGCTTTAATGAGGGACTTACTGGTTTTATGTCCCTGTGCAGGAATCCCACAGAATGAATGCTTTCAATGGACTCCAAAATCTGCTTCCCAAGCCGCAGAGTGGTGCTGATGGTGAACGTTCCTCGAGACTGACTCCGGCGCAGGTCTGCCAAGTTCCGACCCTGATCAGAGGAGAAGGATGTTCTCATTAAAAAATACTAATACCAACATCCACAGCATAAAGTCTTCCTTATTAAAAAAGTCGTCCAACATTAAATTTAGAATCTACTTTCAAAAATATGAATCTCAGTATTTTTCTGCTCCTAAACAACATGGATCAAGCTAATCCCCCTCAGAAGACAACTACACACTCTATTAGTTAATGTTGTATCTCCATGACACCCAAAAAAAGGACACTGAGAAGATGCTCACAAAGAGCATTACACTCACTACACTTTTTTACACTCATCTAGAAGTCCATAATTTATTTCATTATGGAGTATATCATAGATGACTCAACCAAGCTAATGAAAAGTATTCTGTACAGGAAATGCACCCCCCACAACATCACAGAACTGATGGTCTGTCAAATTAACAGACAACTAACACTATGAGCTAGAACACACTTCTTTTTCCAGTAGTCATATTCACCAAGATGATAAAGGACAATAATCCCATAACTTTAAGTGCTTATCACACACTTTACCCCTTTTCACACGAACAAGTCTTTCAGCAAAGTGAATTACATGTTTTCTTTTATTTGTAAAAGCTATTTTCTCACCCAAAATGCATTGACTAATGTATTATATTTTAGACTAGCTTCAAGAGAAGACTTCCAAGGAATATGAATTATCACAGTTCACTCTTTCAATAGTCAGGTCTTTCTGAGGATGCAAACTTTCTGAGAAAATTATGGAAAGGATATCCAAGGATAAAGATATAAGGACATGCTCAGTTTAGGTTTGCTCAGGACTATGCATTCATGACCTTTGGGATTTTTAATTTGTCATCCTCTAAAATTTTATGGGTATTTCCATATATGCTTGGCTAATATACCAAAACACACAAGTAAACTTTGAGCTCTGTTGGATACACTGACCTGCAACTGCATGACCACATAGTTAAATCTGTCATTCCTTCCACATCCAATGAACCTACAGACATGATCTTTTCCTGAGAGAAAAAGAAGCAAATTAGCCAATAATAATGAAACTCTGTGATTTATTCTTTTAAATACCTAGCAAATTACTGGAAGAGATAGCTGTATTTCTTCAGGTATCTTTAATGAACTATGCCCCTCACAGTTCAACAGCTGTAAAAACAAGGTGAGTTCTACCCCCAGTTAAAAAAAGTGTCTCCCATAAAACATGAAGCCATATCACAGCTATCACTCTTAGATAAGAAAATATGCACGGCAACATGCCTGAACATTCACAAATTTGAGGTATTTTGGATTGGGAAAAGGTTCTTCTCTTAGAAAAGGTAGTGGCTTATTACAGGCAATATTCTTAGCCACCATTTCTCTTTTGCTATAAGCTGCTGCTTATAGAAAAGCTACTACAGAAGAATTATAGTAGTTAAAAAAAAATAAATCACAGTTTGGTTTAAGCCAATTTTCTTTAAAGTCTACTCCTGTTCTAGGAGTCAACTGTCGAGGACAAGATGCCTGGTCAAAAATAACCTTCTTCCTACCCTGCAGTTGTAGGTTAAAGCATAAGATTCCCCAGGTTGACTGAAAAAAGGGTGAGCCAAGACTGCAGCAGGACAACAGAAGGGGAATGCACCTCACTGTTATTTCCACATCTGTGGTAATCGACTTGGACAGAACCTGGGAGCCCCTGTGACCCCACTCTAAGACAGATCAGGGAACTGTAGGGCTTAAGTCCCTAGGGCCATTTACCTTCCTTTCTAACAACACAGAAGCTACAGCCAAGAAAAGGCCAAAGGTCCCAGTTGGCTGCTAAAGCTGTATAAAATTTGTGTCATGTAGGATTTCTTTCATGAATTTCTTTACCCTTACCAGAATGTCATAAGTAGAAGAAAGAAATGATAGGAAAAAAGCAATTTAAACATTGGGAAAAAAAAAAAAAAAAGAAATTGCTGCTTTTCAAAGCCTAATTACTGCTAGCTACAGATCTGGGGAGGACTTTTAGTTACTGCTGCACTCATAGCTCCATTAAAACCCCAAAATGTGGCCCTACAGCTTTTCAATATTCTCACTTCACTTGACAGAAAAGTGGCTGCCTGTTTATTGCTTCCAAAGGAAGCTCCTTGCCACACATAACTAAAACACATAGGCCTATTTAAATAATGAAAATGGTACAGGATTCATCAAAATAATTTATTTTAAAAGAAATCTCTACAAGTTCTGCAAATATGTCAGTGCCTAGCTGTACGTATCACTGCTTTTCCTCCTTTTTTCCCTTCCACCCATTTAAGTAAGACAGGCAATATTACAGACAGTATAATTTTATGAAGAACAAGGATTTGCAGCAAATTTGTCAAGACATAATTTTGTATATTCATTGCTGCAGTTTCCAGTTAATGAAGTCTCATCTCAAATATTTATGATTCATTTTACAGCCACTGTGTGTATGCTGAAGGAACATCTTCAGAGAAACATAGATTTAATCTGAAAAATTCAGTAATTGTCCGAAACTCAGTTTGGTCAGAGAAATCCCATTTTAACTGGAGCAGCACCTCCAGTTGGGTGGTAAGTTCTGTGGAAACTAACTTTTGTAAAAATCTGAGGAAAGGAGAACGGACAGACAGAAGTAGGGCTTGTACACCTTTTTCAAATAAATCAGCCACCAGAATCATCTCCCAGGGAAGTGGTGGAGTTCCCAACCTCGGACACCTAGGGTTCCCCTGGACTGGGTGCTGGACCATCTTAGCTAGACTGTGCTTTTCCCAAGAAAGGTTGGACCAGATGATCCTTAAGGTCCCTTCCAACCTGGTATTCTATGTTTCTATGAAATAGGATGACCCTCCACCGCTGCAGTGTGGCTACATGCACCTACTGCACCTTTGCAGACACCTTCAGTTCCTTCTCTCAGGGAGAAAATAGTATTTTCTCTTTTCTCACACCTGTGAGCCACTTGGCTGGGGAGCAAGGGGAGAAGTAGGTGGTAACAGGCTGCAGTGAACAACTATGCCCTTGAAAAGCTTCCTAGGGAGGGCAGGGAGCCTACACACTATCCCCAGGCTGCAGTGTATCACTGCTGCCAGTTTTTCAGCCCACACCAGACACAACCCATCACTAAATTACCCTCGAGAGCTGTAAATGAGTGAGGGAGAAGTCTGTAAGGTTGTGTGAGACAGAAACCAACTGAGTGAGTCTCACTCTCACTGAGTGAGATGTGATAAATCTGTCTTCTCCAATCTGACTGTGGGAACAGATGGCCCAACAACACGATTAAACAAAACAACCATCTGTTGCACCAGATTTCTTTTTAAAACAACAACAAAAAAACCAACAAAACCAGATCTGAAAGAGTTAAACAGTATTCAGACAACAATAATTAGGAGATGGCATCATCGGTGGTGGAAAAACAAAAGCCAAAGATACATCTGATGACTAAGCTGCAATAAGTGGCTGTATCAGTGAACATACTCCTACATAATTACGAGAGAAGCCATTCCACTACGCACATATTTAAGCATGTTTTGCTAGATCAGGGTCTAAAAAGAGCTTCTCTGAAGTTCTTCATTATTCACTGTACTGCATACCTACAAAGTTATGGCTCCTTTCAACCTTGCAATGAATGACCGCAGTGTTTTAATTTTCAAAATTTCTGAAAGCAAAAATAATAAAAAATAGTACATCCCTGCACTTCCCCCAGCAGGTATGTGCGTTTCAGTTTCACAGTTTCTGTGAAATAAGAGTCTAATTCAGAAACACTCAAAAGCATATTTATAACCTTGAGAATGTGCCTACCTCTAGTATAGACTGGAAGAGCTTGTTTTCTGGATTGAGACCTATTATACTTGTTCATTTCATTCTTTCCTAAAAGCCTGTTTCTTAATCATTTTCCCAGATATTGTACATGACAATAAATATTAAAAAAAAAAAATAAAAAAAAAATAAAACCAAAACACCAAACAGATCCACACATCAAGAGAAATCTGAATGACACTGTCAGCTCACTGTCTCTCATTACATTCTATTCATAGATTAAACATTCCAAATATTTGGAAGAAAAAAGATTTTCAAGACAATTACTTTACTTCCTCTGATTTATGTCCATGGTAACTAGAACACCTTGAAAGTAAGAGAACATAAGCCCTTTGAGAAAAGGATAGTAATTATATACATACATATATATACATACACATCTTTGCCAAAAAGGGACAGTAGCACAAGATAAAAGTTGGTCTCAGAGGATAATGCTATTAGAAGGTTGTTGCAAAAATATCCCAAGAAAACTGTTTACAATTTTTTTTCCACTATACTGTGGAACTTGCACAGCAATGACTAGAGGTCACCTCTAGTGTTACTATCATGGAATCATCAACATCTTCTTCTTTTACGAGAATAGTAAGAGATAAAAATTAAGGAATAATACTTAGATTGTTTTCTCATAAGGAAGGTTGTCAAAAGAGCTCCTTCCAAAGATCTCATACAAAATCAGGGTTTCAATTATGTAAGAATTTCTATTTATTTATTTTTCTATTAAGAAATAATATTGAGAAAGTAAATAACTGAAAGATCTTTATTTGGATTATATATTATTTGAATTGTTTGCCTCAGCGGATCTGCTGTTCAGATGTTTCACTGTTCTGTTCTTTCCATCTAGACAACCATTCCCCAAGATTCAGTAGAATCAGAGACTCTTGCAGGAAGACCTGGATTGTTAAAAGCATTATAGTCCCAAAGGAAGACTGATAAGAAAATGATAACTTCTGTAAGGCTCCATGGTAATCAATCACAAATCAAATTTTTATTATTTCAGCAAATGTTTTTGTTCTCTCAAAAATATTTCATAAGGTAAAAAAGTTTTTACTAAGAAAAATAGCATTTTCATAACATGTTAACTCGAACTTTACTACACTGAAATTTGCAGTAGAAAGCTATAAAGTACTTCAGTTATACAGTCATCTATAAAGCTATGTTTTACAGATACATTGGCATTGTAGCACTACCAAACTACAATATTTTATTTCAGTTATTGCTATTCTCATTATTTCAGCTGCTTCACCTATACCATTTTAAAGATTCTGTTTTTTTTAAAAAATAAGATCAAGTTCATGTATGCAAAAAAAAAAACAAATTGAAAAAACTAATTTTGAGCACTTAAAACCCAAAAGTTAGAGAGTGTTTGTGTCTTCAAAACTCACTATCTTTAAGACAATTTATTTCAAGAAACCTGACAAATGGTTTCTAAATTTAGGATGGGTTATACTGAAATTTACTATTCACCTCTGGACTACAAACTCTAAAATCCAAAGAAAACTAATATGCAATACCTGAATCTCCTTTATAACACTAGATGACTTTGTGAAATTCTTTAAAAGGACATAAACATAGGAACACTCTGTTACCACTGTAACATGTGACATATTGCCCTCTTAAATCTATAGAGACTGTCAATGTCTGATGCAATATGACCTTTACAGCAGATTAGGAAGCACCATATGTTCATGCAGATTTTGTTTTATTCAAACTAAGAGTTTGAAAAAATTTGGCTGCTTAGGGGGAATCTTCCAGATTCAAAATAAATTTTTTAAAGGAAAAAAATCATCCTTTAAACTTGCTTTTTCTCATCTTACTTTGTGACAAGTGATGAAGAGAAGCCATTGCATAATTCTCTACATTGACATATCAAAGTATTTAAAAGCACTTCAAAAGTGACTGTTCAAAGATGTGATTCTGAATGGTCAAGGATCTGAACCCTAAAAGGGTATTTTTTTTCTACAAGTTATGGTATTTTGAAGTTGGTTTTTTTGTTTGTGTGAGGGGGTTTTTTTCTATTACATTTCCCATTTCAACAACAGAATTATTCCTGGCAATACTTGCAAAGGCAAACAAATACAGATATTTTTATCCTGGATGCTATGTGAAGGACTTGCAAATATTCAATGCAACATAGTACAGAAAAAAGAGACCATCTCAGAAGTGAAAAAAAAAAAAAAAAATAAAAAGGAGCTAAAGGAGCAGATACAGATCCAGAATAAACTACAGCTGAACACCGGTTTTGCAACAATTCAATATTTTTTGTTCTTCTTATGTCATCCTCTTTCAAAGAAAAGGTTCATTGGAGCAAAACTTCCAGAAAATGAAAGAGTTTCCATTCTACTTTGAATAATCATTTAGCTATAACCTGCAGAATATGGGAAGCAGTTCTTCAAATTATGACTAAATAGAGATTAGAATGATTCCTTAAGAATACAGATCAACATTCTCCTTCTGGCATATCCAAGGTACAGGCCTACCTTGCAATTTCTTCAGCACAGCTACTTCCATTTTCAGCACTTGCTTTGGCTGCTGAGCTGACTCGACCTTCAGAGCAACATTCTCCCGAGTCAGCAAATCCAGCGCGTCGTAAATTTCTCCAAATCCTCCGCCTCCTATTTTCCTCAACTACATAGGGAAAAAAACACAAAGAACAACAACAGATTTAAAAGAGGGGAGGAAAAAAAAAAGAATGGAAATGAAACAGTGCTTCTTTGTACTGCCTGCCATACTGTAAACACTGTTGTATTACTAATAGGTTTTAAAAGAACATAATCGTTTCCTTCAGGAGGTAACAGAGCTACTGAATGATCTCCAAAGGTATGGTTAACCATAGTGTGGGGGAGAATCCTAGGAAAAGAGGGCAATACACCTGATCTCTATCTGCACTACACCTCTGGTATTTAATACAATAGAAGAGTGTGGTTGCATTCCCAGCATGAATCCAACCAAAGTCCGCGTGCTGAATAAAGTATTTCCTCAAATAGTCACATACTACCCAGAGACCTTCAAACATAAATGCACAGTGACATTTTTAAAATATGCCATCTTTTTTTTTTTTTTAATTTTATTTTTTCCAGAAATATGCACACTGAATACTAAAAGTATAAAAGTGCTTGGTCTTGGTGCAAAGACCTGGGATTTGCTATCATATGCAATGACTTACAGCTAAATAATAAATAAGGACAGCTAAATTATAAATGATAAGAAATGGCTGAGATTATCTTTGAATACATATTTTTAAATGTTACACACATTTACTTATGCATCACCAATATTATTCTTATTACCAGACATACTGAAGAAACTTGCACCACTGAAATTTCATCTGTGTTAGGAAGAGGTAGAAAGAATACTCCTGGAATATTAGTTTGCACTACATTCAGAGCAAATATTAATAGTTGGGTTTTCACCCTGCTTTAAACATTCACAGGGAAAAAAGACTTGTCTGGTTTTCAGTATCAAAAATATCAATGTTATTTCACATAATGCTTTCATACAGTGATCTACCAACTCTAAACCTGATGAAAGAGAAAAGGAAACAAAAAGCAATTACCCCAAGAAACACCCAGTATTGTATTTTTACTGTATTTTACCTTGAAAGAACCGACATGGTTTTCTAAATGTCATTTGAAAATATGCAGTTGCTAAGGTTATATGACTATACTGTATTAAATGTCATCTGAACATTCTGGGGATCTAGAGATCAGCAATATGCTGGCCTATCTTCAGATTCTGAAAATAAATCTAATGTCTCCTAATCCAAATCATCAGTAGGGAAAGCAATTTTTAAAATAGGCTGGGCCCCTAAGAATAAGGAAGAATGTAACGTATTGTTTACTTCCAATTTTCAAGTCATATTGCATGAAGATTTTATTCTGTATGATTACAATACTCAGTATTAAATCATGCACTCTTTGTCTTGAAGGTCTTTTACCATCTCAAGCAACTGCTATTCCAATATTCTTAAGATGAGGAAAATACAGCCCAAGAGAGGCCACATCACCTACATTACTCACTTCTGGCCAATTCATTGTCCATTTTCAAATAAGTGTGTATGACAGAGCTCACCAGATTTTCAGACCTACAGAACTAACCCACCTATATCTGCTTCTAGTGCAAAATCTCTTGACTGCAAATTCACACCTTCTTTTCTGTTTGACCAGCACAGGAGCCATTAGCAGTTGCCACCTCCTCTCCTCGACTTTCTCTGAAGCAGCACAACATGTGTAGTACCAACACAGCCTTAAAGCTTCTTTAACTCTTTAACCTACACATTTTAAGAACCTAACAAGTTCAAGTTCAGAGCATCAGAAATCCTGAGTAAGAATTTCAGACATGACTTGTTTAGGGCACTAATCAGATAAGGTTAACTCTGAAATAAGGACAAACCATGGGAAATAGAAAGCTTTCAATTCCAATGAAATACTCAGCATAACTTGGTTACATCCAGATGTATTTAATATATGCAGTTAGTTAGTCCTCACAGACAGGAAAGAGATCTGTCATCTATATATTGGGAAAAATAGTAAGTTTTAACAGATTTAAGTTTGGGTGGGTTTTTTTTAATTAAAAAAAAAAACCCTTCTATGTGTAGCTATGTATATCTCTCAAGATGTAGTTTTGTGACTAATTTGGCCATTTTAAATTTGCACTTTTCTGTTCCACCTCTAAGTCTGGTGGTGAGTTATCCTGGCTGATTTCTGAGTTATAGCCAATGATCTGACTGTTGTTTTTGGTATAAATACATCCATTTTCAGCACAGCCCAAGCACAACAGGGACAGTGAGGATGCATGGTGGAAAAGGCGAGAGGAGAAAAGGAATGAGGCGACACATCCATCCTTACCCCTACACAAACTCAGAGCAGTTTATGATACAACCTCATTTTCCAGCTTTGAGAAAAGGCCAAATGTAGAAAGGCTGTCTCTGAAAGGAGTTTTTCCTGTCTGTATGCTTAAAAAATATTTCAAATGAACAAACAAAAACACCAAACCAAACACACCACCACACTACTACAATAAACAGATCAATTTCTATCCTCAGATAAAGCACACCAGAATCATTAACATACATCCAATAATGACATCAGTCAATTATTCCAGGCACAAATGAACCTCTCTTGGATTGTAGGGAAAACAAATCTTTTCCAAACCCTTTGTCACTGGGTCACACACCACACTCAGCAATGAGCCTGTTGTTCTCCTTGGTCTTCTTTTTGCTGCCAGTGTCCCTTTATAAGCCTTTCTCATTGCTTTTCACATCCCTCACCAGCTTCAAGGATCAGGATCATGTTGCCCTCATTTACATGTCCACCACGTTCTCCCATTTTGTCCATTAGTTTCAAGCTTCTCTTTTCTGCATTCAGCATCTCACATCTCAAACTCATTCTCCCCACTAAAGCACAGTTTCCAACACAGTTTATCTTGGAACCTCTGCTCACAATGAATACTGAAAAGTGTTCTTAAACCTACCCAAAACCAATTATCCTTGCAATCAAGTCTTTCCAGGTCAGAATTGTAAGAAATATTTTGAAGGCAAAAAAGAGGAGTGAGAAAAGGCATCAACAGAGGATAAAATCAAATGCTAATAGATACAGAGATCAGTAGACAGGGAGGGTTTCACCAAGAAAAAAGTATATTGTAGAGAACAATGAAGTCTCCCTTGAGCCTCCTTCAGGCTTAACAACCCCAGTTCCCTCAGATGCTCCTCATAAGACTTCTGCTCTGGGCCCTTCACCAGCTTCATTGCTCTTCTCTGGACCTGCTTCAAACCTCACTGTCTTTCTTGTAGTGAGATGCCCAAAACTGAACACAGTACTCAAGGTGTGGCCTCACCAGTGCTCAGTACCAGGGCGCAATCACTTCCCTAGTCCTGCTGGCTACACTAGTGCTGGTACAAGCCAGTGCTGGTACAAGCCCTTTCTGCCAAGCCACTTGTTCCCAAGCCTGTAGCATTGCCTGGGGTGGTTGTGGCCCAAGTGCAGGACCCAGCACTTGGCCTTGTTGAAGCTCAGTTAGCCTTGGCCCATCAATCCAGCCTGTCCAGGTCCCTCTGAAGAGCCTCCTGATCCTCAAGCAGATCAGTACTTCCAGCCAAATCGTTGTCATCTGCAGACTTGCTGAGGGTGAACTCTACCCCCTCATCCAGAACCTTAATAATGATAATAAACAGAACAGGCCCCAGTACTAACCCTTGGAGAACACCATTTGTGACCAGCTGCCAACTGGATTTAGCTCCATTCCCCAGCACTGTTTGGGCCTGGCCATCCAGCCAGTGTTTTACCCAGCAGAGCATAAGCCCATCTAAGCCATGAGCAGCCACTTTCTCCATGAGAATGCTGTGAGAAACAGTGTCAAAGGCTTTACTGAAGTCCAGGTAGACAACATCCACAGCCTTTCCCTCATCCAGGAGAAGTACTACTGATAATTAGGGACAGTACTCACTGTCACCAAAACTTGAAAGTCCACTGGTTTATACCACCTCGAATTTTTAAGTACTCTACTGCTTCAAGAACACCCACAAAAAACTTCAATACCTCATAACATAACAGAAGAGTATTAATTATATTAATAAATATGTGTCAAGCACTAAGGATTTCTACAATTTGCATGCTATTTTGTTCCACTGGCAGACTGTCCTATGAAATCCTGAACTCAGAAATAAGTATATTGCCTTAGATGCCATCAAGAGAACCTTAATGTCTGCTACAGAAATTAAGAAATTAAAGTTACCCACATACAATATTTGGTCATCTACCTGTATGTTTTCCAAATCAAGTAATACAAGTTAAAAAGTATAATCACATGAGATGAACAACAGCCTACTCTCAAAATTTTCCAAAAGACACTCATCTGATATCATTCCTCATTACACAGACAGAAAATTGAGAGTGCCAGAGCCCTGGAACAGGCTGCTCAGAGAGGTTGTGGAGTCTCCTTCTCTGGAGAATTTCAAAACCCATCTCAACACATTCCTGTGCAACCTGCTCTAGGTGACCCTGCTTTGGCAGGGGGGTTGGACTAGATGATGCCCAGAGATCCCCTTCAATCCCTACTATTTTGTGAAAATAAACCTGAAGAAAACAGGACTAGTGTTGCACATATCAGTCAACTCAGTTTTGTGGAAAGTGATACATTAGTATACTGTTAGCTATCTATAATGCTATTCTACTCTGTTTGCTCTGACTCAAGACATGTTTTCAGTTTTTACTTCAAAGCAATACTGAGATGCAATATAAGAAGGTATTTTACAAATAATTATGCTCCAAAGGTAGCTCTTTAGGTTCTACTTACACAATAGGAAACACAAAGGTTTCCTACACAAAAGTAGTATTGGTTTCCTGCATTCTTAAATAAAGGATAGGGCACAAGATACTTGAAAATTATTTTCCCTAAATGAATTTGAAATTAATGATGAGTATGTATTTTCTGTGTTCAGTCTCACAGTTTTAAATAAAGTATTGAAGTATGGGAGTAATACAAAGCAAAAAATTGTGGGAAAAAAAATTGGTGATTTTGTATCCATTCACAGCCTACTACCCACATAGAGAGACTCAAAATGTTCTATTATAAAGTGGCTTTTTTTTTTTCTGGGATTTTTTTTTCATCTCAAAAAAAATCCACAAGCAAAAACAAAATTTAAAGTGAGCAAGGGAATAGAGAAGGAGCTATGGGAACTCAGGCTGTTTTTCCCAGCAAGAATACTTTCAAATGCATACTATTTCCCTCTAGATGTAAACCAAGGATATGAACACCAAAAGGGAACAGAGCTATTTATGGTGAAACCAATACTGGCACACAATCAAATAGATTTATTCCTGCCTGATTTACATCCATGCTACAATATATAACAAAAATAACTTCTAATTGGAGGAGCAGAAAGATCCTGAAAAATCTTCCTATAAGAAGCAACAAATCTCACAATCTGATTAGTTTCAAGAGGGTGCCCAACTGATTTCCAAAACAAATTGACATAACCACTGGCTGACTGGATTCAACATATTAAAAGGACTCTTCCAGTTGTGCTCTAAACAGGCACTAACTCAAGATTTTAAAAGCTTCCCTAGGTCTTTACTAGAAAACAAAAAAAAAAAAACACAACCTCTTAAACCTGTATAACTTCTTTAAGTAGAATGAGAGAAACAAGCAGATTTAAAGTCCTTTTATCATTTCATGTGTTAAGCAAAATACATCTCACAAGAATTTTGACACATTTCAAAGTGCAAACCACCTCTTGTTTTAAAAAACACGTATTAATGAAGAAAAAAAATTGCAGGAAGGGATACTCACCACTTTCCATCTTTCTTTGACCAAGATTCCCACACTGAGGATATCAGGCTGCTCCCCTCCTCCACTCATTGCAACCTCCTGAGGCAATGGAGCTGCTATGCAAAGTCTATGTCAGCAGAAACCATCCAGACCCCAGCAGTGGCTTCCATTTAACCAGTGACTGCAGACACAAGCAGAACATAGGAACTCAGTGATTACCAGAATAACAGGAAATACAGAAAGAGTTGTGTTTCTCACCTAAGACCTTAACCAGTCTTTGTATCCCACAGTGACTTAGCTTGGAAATCTAGTCAAACGATTTCCAGCACAGAAAGAAATTCAAGTACATTCTTCCTTATTTTTCGAATGTGCCCTCTCTCAAACCTCCAAGCCCGACCTCAAAATAGCACTAATAAATATAGACATTTTCAGAGTTATATTCTGCAGGCAGTTTCAAATTGCTGTAAATCATGATTACATTTACATTTAAATTTCATAACAAGAACTTTGAAAATCTAATTAACAATTTCCTAAATAATTGGTTAAGTAATTAATAGTAATATATAATAATAAGCTTAAAGCAACATTAACCAAAAATTTACAACATTGAAAACAGATACTTAAATCAAAATTGTAATTTAGTTTACTGTGCTGCATACTGCCTACTCCACATTTTATAATGTGTCTCACGTAGCTGGGATTACTTATGATTAAGTATGTCTAAACTACAATTTTTTTTGGTTTATGTCAGGGTACAAATAGCTAAAGGGAAAAAACTTGTCTTGGGTAACTCTATCCATTTTTTTTTTTAATTTTCTGGCTTTAGGCAATCATCTCTAAATTGAATTTTATATAGCAATATATAAATTTGTCTTTTGGAGATTAACCCATCCATAACAGCTCCCATCAGCAACTGCTACAACCAATTAAACACTTATTTCAATTGTTTGAAGCTTTTCTAGAATTGTGCTTGTTTTAATTATACCAGTGTAACTCTTTGTACAAACTCTCTTATCCAATGATAAGACTCTTCAAAAGTGTATTTGATGTAGGTTTATTTCTGTGACTTCCAAAACAGCATAAAGTGAAAGCGAGAAATGCTTTTCTCCCTGAATCAACACAAATGGTATGTGCAAAACTGGTACAACCATTCTGATTTAAATTAACAGCATGCCCTTCCATGCAGATAAATACCAAGCTTGCTACTAAGGCTGAATTATGCTTTTTTACAACACAACCTGCTGTTTAAACAACCCAGCTTCTAAGATACACATTTATTTGACACGACAATAACTGTGGGTTTTTTTCATGTTCTTTTGTATTTATTTTTTTTATTTTCTTTATGCCTTTCTTGCTTCAATGGTAAATCCTGACATTTAAGCCAACTCCAAATAAAACAGACCCCTCTGGAGAAAAATTGATCTGGTATAGTTGAAGATATATACAGTTATATCAAATTAGAGTAGATTACATCCCTGCAAAACAGTGTTCATTCAGAATATGTAGCCTGAATTGGTTTACATCAAACAAATGAAGGGACACCACATGAAGATTGCATATCCTGAGTAACAGCATCCACTCTCTCATGCCATCGAGTTGAACTAAACAATTCAAATTCTACCAGTGCTGGTAAATTCTCCCTGCAGATAGGGTCAAAATTCTAAAGGGAATTATAGCCATGTCTGTGAACACCCTTAACATTACAAACCACTGACCATAATTACTGGCCTTTCTAATAGGACTATCGTAACACAGTCAGGAACCGAGTCAAAGAGAAAATGAAATAGCACTAATGAAGGGAAAAGGGTCTGTTTCCAAAATCACATGCTTACAGCACGTACAGTGATTTTCCAATTTGCTCAAATCTTTTCTTCCCCTTCCACCACCACACCATTACATCAAAGTAAGTGATGATCTTCCCTAAGTAATGTGGTTACTCCTACATTGTGGATAAATATCTTTATATTCCTTACCTAATAACAGAAAACATGTAGTCTGGTAGGTACAATTTAGGTTATGATTGCCTTCTCCAAATTCTGTTTGGTTTTTTTTGGTGGGGGGGAAGGACATATATTTAAAAGACTTTTGGACAGATATAAACATGGATTCTTTGGAGATGGTGCTCATGACGAAACTGAAACATCTCTGAAGTTTGAAGGACTTGAATTCACATTCTTTGGCCCATTCTAAATTCTACACCTGAAAAAAAGACTCAGAGAAGGACACAGTCCCATTTCTATTACTGAAATAACAGCCATGTGTTGCTTTCAGCCTCCCATGCTGTTAATTAAAGAAAGCTCCAGCATGATTTGTATCCCACTGAAGCAGAGGAGTAGTTAATGACACAGAGGTAAGGTGCAAGCTTTGCCTTACTCACTCTACACATGAATCCTTTGGCAGTTCAGTTTTACAGGTGGCAGTACAGTTATCTTCTGCACAACAAACACTTCTTTATAATTCTCCTAAAAAAAGTAACAACCATTTTAATTGCAATATATATAATAAAATTCTACATTCACTAACTCATCAGTTTCCTTATCAGACCAGTTTTTCAGATCAAAGGAAACATGTCAGACAACAGAATTATCACAATTAAAGGCTATTAGCCCTCTGTCAAATTTATTTCCAGGTGACAGGTCATGGAACACCTAGGACAGCACAATGAGTACTGACTTTGTTCCATGACAGAAGCCTTTGCCTGGGATCTGATCACAGGATAATATAAGAACAAGTAAAGGAGGGTTAATGCTCATATGCAAAATTTAATATTGTCCAAACAACATCCATTATTTAAAACTCTTCTATTCGCTTAACTGCTTTTAACTATGTAACACCACCCCCAGAAAAGACTTCTTTAATTTACCCCAGCCAGGTATACTAAAAGATTATATGCTATTAGAAAATAACTGCAAAATTTCCAGGGAAAAAAAAAGTCAACTCTGTAAAAGCTGATTCTAGCTCAGCACGCAAAGACAATCTTTCTTTGTAAATTGAACACATGTAATTCTTTAGAGGTGGCCCTAAACTGAAGCCAATTTCTACCTATCAGCCTTTGTGGATGTTTTAATCCAGACCTAAGGTTGAGAAAAATGCACAGACAATTTTGGCTGAATGGAGGTACTGTAAGTTTCAGGAAAACACAAGGACAGAATATTACTCTGTTCCAGAGTAAAGGAAAAAATACATGTCCAGTTGCCTCCCCTGGGCAATGCTATCAACCTTTTGCTATGAGCAACTCCCTACGCTTATTAGGGGCTCCATCTGCCTGCCTTCAGTTCATTTAAGAAACCAGTAAATTAACTGTAATCCACCAAAGTTGCTTCCCACTTCTGTACTTGCTATTTTTGAGCAGAAGAACTTAAAGGAACAAAGAAAAATTGAACAAGTCAGCAAAAAGAGAAAATCAGGGCAGAAAACATTCAAAAGTCCTAATTCCATCATATTTATGGTCAAGTCCACTTTCTTTAGGTAAGAAGTATGCTATAATGGTAAATCCTAAGGCCAGAAATGTTTTAAGTGTACCTATTTAAACACCCAAACTAGAAAGCCATCCTACACTTACAACCTGAATATTTGCTAGATATATTCAACAGAGGCTGGAGTCTGAAAATCATCATTCAGCAAATCAGTGAGAAAGCTAAATTTAAGACCTTGACCTAAATTTCCAACTGTATTGGTTGTGAAGAAAACCCTTTAAAAAATTCAACACATAAGCTATGCCATTTTAGGTTATCCTATCTCAAGCTCTTGGGTGCCAAAATACTCATCACCACTTGCAGATTCCAGGTGTGAAGAGCTCCCAACTGCCTTGTGTGCTATTGCCAGAGTCTAGATTTCCTTCTGGCAACTTCTGCACTTTGAGCTATGTTGTTATTATACAAGGGGCAATATTTTCTCAGTTTGAAGACCGAGTTAAAATGTAATATCTAGATTCAAGATAACGGTCTTATTTTAAGAACACCTATTTCAAGCTACTACACTATTTCCAGTCTGCAAGAGAATTCATCACCAAAATGTTACAAAAAAAAAAAAACAAGGAAGGCAAAGTTTACAGAAGGATTATATTCTTTTACCAGACCAACTGATACAGGTGGCAAAATCCTACACATTTTAGGCACACAAACCCCCCTTCAAGTCCAACACAGAACAAGAAACTTTTTTAAAAAATTAAATTGAACTTGAAAGCAATAGCACTTCATTAAATCTCTTTGTTAGACCAACTGAGATAAAAGGTACTCGATACTTTGCCCTAAAGAAAGGGAAGCACCTGGGTATGTGCATGACAGGGAGAGACTGTAGGGTTGTGGCTTCTAGGGGAAACCCAGCATGCCATTTATTACCTATAGAAAATCAGAAATTTTTGGTCAGGGAGAATGACTCATGAAACAAAACCTCCATTTAATCCATTATATTTTTGCCATGTTATTTTTCAGGCGAATGAGTTCATTTCCTAATCTGATCTGCCACACAACTGCACAAAGACTTAGGTCGGAACAAGAGGGAGAATGGGCGTTAGCTGTGGGGGAGGAGGCAAGGCTGGACTACTGTGGTGCTCCCAACCCAAACCAGTTGCTGAGCTCCAACCTCAGGTGCAGAGCCTTCAGTACTGATGAAGAAACTCAACCTTTTGGGGAGGTTAACCTCATTCCAAATATCACTGTATTATTCTCAAGTTTTTTCCACAACTCAGAGCGAGTTCCAAATCAAACAGGAGCTTGTGAAAACTTATTATATTCATCACTTCAAAATTAACTTAAAAACCCTAGAAGTGTAATTTGTTAAAAAAAAAAAAAAAAGTGTATTTCTGTATGCTAGATCCACTATAACTGTTGTGACATTTACAACAAACCTACAGGGAATGAGCAGTGGGGTTTTTTTCTCTTATAAAATTTTGTTTTACCTGTCATAAAAGTCTTCTTCAAAGAAACTAGTTATCTGATTGCTTACATGAAGTGAAAAATACTTTTAAACATGCAAACGGAAAGTTAGTTCTGCAATTACCCAAATTATACAGCGTTACAACAATTAATTTTCAAGAACCTTGCAAAATTTTCATTACAGGTGAGTTAAGAGATAGTGTGGTTTTGAAC